TTTATTGATGGTGTTTGATCATAATAATCTAGGAAAAGTCTGTATAATAACAGTGTTTCTTTGTAAAACTCTTAGTGTGTAACTTTATTGATGGTGTTTGATCATAATAATCTAGGAAAAGTCTGTATAATAACAGTGTTTCTTTGTAAAACTCTTAGTGTGTAACTTTATTGATGGTGTTTGATCATAATAATCTAGGAAAAGTCTGTATAATAACAGTGTTTCTTTGTAAAACTCTTAGTGTGTAACTTTATTGAACGGATTTGATCATAATAATCTAGGAAAAGTCTGTATAATAACAGTGTTTCTTTGTAAAACTCTTAGTGTGTAACTTTATTGAATGGATTTGATCGTAATAATCTAGGAAAAGTCTGTATAATAACAGTGTTTCTTTATAAAACTCTAAGTGTGTAACTTTATTGAACGGATTTGATCGTAATAATCTAGGAAAAGTCTGTATAATAACAGTGTTTCTTTGTAAAACTCTTAGTGTGTAACTTTATTGAACGGATTTGATCGTAATAATCTAGGAAAAGTCTGTATAATAACAGTGTTTCTTTATAAAACTCTTAGTGTGTAACTTTATTGAACGGATTTGATCATAATAATCTAGGAAAAGTCTGTATAATAACAGTGTTTCTTTGTAAAACTCTTAGTGTGTAACTTTATTGATGGTGTTTGATCATAATAATCTAGGAAAAGTCTGTATAATAACAGTGTTTCTTTGTAAAACTCTTAGTGTGTAACTTTATTGAACGGATTTGATCGTAATAATCTAGGAAAAGTCTGTATAATAACAGTGTTTCTTTGTAAAACTCTTAGTGTGTAACTTTATTGTGTGCACGTGTGTTAACTCGCACATCATCTCGCACTCACATTACTCCAGTTCTTCAGCAGTTACACTGGTTGCCTGTAAAGTCACGCATCGATTTTAAAACCTTGATTTTAACTTATAAAGCTGTTCATGGTTCTGCACCTGATTATATGTGACCTGATATCAACCTCCTCATCCTCTCGCAATCTACGTTCTGCTTCGAGGCTCACCTTGTATCAGCCCCGTTGCAAACTTAGCAGCATGGGAGGCAGGGCTTTCTCTTATTGTGCACCTAAATTGTGGAATGCTCTCTCCACAAACATCAGAAACGCCAGTTCCCTGGACACTTCCTAAAACTCATCTTTTTATTATTGGTTATAACTTATGAGGCCTTCTTTTAATATGTGTTTTTTCATCATTATTATCATTCTTACTTTTTTGTGTATTTCATGTTCTTCTGTGTGTTGATGCTCTTGTTAGCGCTTTAAGTTTGAAAAGAGCGCAAATATAAATAAAATGTATTATTATTATTTATTGAACGGATTTGATCGTAATAATCTAGGAAAAGTCTGTATAATAACAGTGTTTCTTTGTAAAACTCTTAGTGTGTAACTTTATTGAACGGATTTGATCGTAATAATCTAGGAAAAGTCTGTATAATAACAGTGTTTCTTTGTAAAACTCTTAGTGTGTAACTTTATTGATGGTGTTTGATCATAATAATCTAGGAAAAGTCTGTATAATAACAGTGTTTCTTTGTAAAACTCTTAGTGTGTAACTTTATTGAACGGATTTGATCGTAATAATCTAGGAAAAGTCTGTAAAATAACAGTGTTTCTTTGTAAAACTCTTAGTGTGTAACTTTATTGATGGTGTTTGATCATAATAATCTAGGAAAAGTCTGTATAATAACAGTGTTTCTTTGTAAAACTCTTAGTGTGTAACTTTATTGATGGTGTTTGATCATAATAATCTAGGAAAAGTCTGTATAATAACAGTGTTTCTTTGTAAAACTCTTAGTGTGTAACTTTATTGAACGGATTTGATCGTAATAATCTAGGAAAAGTCTGTATAATAACAGTGTTTCTTTGTAAAACTCTTAGTGTGTAACTTTATTGATGGTGTTTGATCATAATAATCTAGGAAAAGTCTGCATAATAACAGTGTTTCTTTGTAAAACTCTTAGTGTGTAACTTTATTGAACGGATTTGATCATAATAATCTAGGAAAAGTCTGTATAATAACAGTGTTTCTTTGTAAAACTCTTAGTGTGTAACTTTATTGAACGGATTTGATCGTAATAATCTAGGAAAAGTCTGTATAATAACAGTGTTTCTTTGTAAAACTCTTAGTGTGTAACTTTATTGAACGGATTTGATCATAATAATCTAGGAAAAGTCTGTATAATAACAGTGTTTCTTTGTAAAACTCTTAGTGTGTAACTTTATTGAACGGATTTGATCGTAATAATCTAGGAAAAGTCTGTAAAATAACAGTGTTTTTCTGTAAACATTGATTGAAAATATCTGTAGATTTGTTATTTTTTGCACTTTATTTCAACAAAGACATTTTACCGTAATTTTATGGTTTTTGTTTGGCAGCTGTAGCTGCCAGTCGTTTGACCTTTGTTTTACTTTTTTTTTTTTCTTACAGTGCAGGATTATAGTCGAGCAGGAACCACAGGTCAAAGCAGATCCTCATTCATTCATTTAGTCGCTTAGTCTCTATTCTGTAAAAAATCGTATGTGCTATTTACTTAAACAAATAGTGGTAACACCATTGCACGTAATAATTGTAAGTAGTTTTCAAGGCTTAATTTGTTTTAAGCGAAAACCACAACGAATCATGTGAAAAATACTAGGTTTTTTGAGTGATGGATGATAAATTTAATATTATTAGTGGAGAATGCTTTTATAAATTAAGCCAGGAGTCATCAATCTCTGTCCTGGAGGGTCGGTGTCCCTGCAGGGTTTAGCTTCAAGATGCTTCAACACACCTGTCTGGGTGTTTCAAGTATACCTAGTAACACCTTGATTACCTTGTTTAGGTGTGTTTGATTAGGGTTGGAGCTGAAATCTGCAGGACATCGGACCTCCACAAGTTTGGTGACCCCTGATTTAAGCAAATTAACCATAATTTATTCAAAATGATTAATGAAATGTACTCGTTCATCAAATATAAAATAAATAATTTATAATGAAATACATACAGGCGAGGCAGTGGCGCAGTAGGTAGTGCTGTCGCCTCACAGCAAGAAGGTTGCTGGGTCGCTGGTTCAAACCTCGGCTCAGTTGGCAATTCTGTGTGGAGTTTGCATGTTCTCCCTGCCTTCGCGTGGGTTTCCTCTGGGTGCTCCGGTTTCCCCCACAGTCCAAAGACATGTGGTACAGGTGAATTGGGTTGGCTAAATTGTCCGTAGTGTGTGTGTGGATGTTTCCCAGAGATGGGTTGCGGCTGGAAGGGCATCCGCTGCGTAAAAACTTGCTGGATAAGTTGGCGGTTCTTTCCGCTGTGGCGACCCCGGATTAATAAAGGGACTAAGCCGACAAGAAAATGAATGAATGAATGAATGAATGAATGAAATACATACACGATGCTTTTTATTACATGTTCCACTGATAACAATGGTACGTACAATTTGTTAAACTAATCTATATAAAATTTACAGCAATGTTAAAACATTTATAAATCCGTGTTTTGGAAAAAAAGTTCTGTCAACTTTCTTTTGTAGGAATAGCACATTTTAAACGAAATCTGACAGAATTTGTGCATTGCATAACATATAAAACCAGTATGAAAGCTGTATGGCAAAATAATAGCAACACAACCAATCAACCAATCAATGCGGTGAAATTTCACCGAGAGTTTGTAGCAGTGAATTTGTCTCAGAATCTTCATATAAGTTTGTTTTTTGGTGATTTTAAATTGGGGAATATTTGTATATATCCAGTTCAACAATTCTAGATTTTCCAAGCCAGCCATGACTCACTCATCCTCCAAGACGATGCAGACGTCCTCATGGTTGGTCGTTCCTCTGGCAGAGAGCAGTTCTCTGTGCATCCCTATATACATCGCATGGCAAAAACTAGGCTCCTGAACAAGCCCCTGAACAGCATGTGTCTTTCCTGAAAGAGCTTATTTGAGACAACAAAAATGATAAACTGTGAATGCTTACCTCTTAGCATGCTCACAGTTGATTTGCTCCTTCAAAATGGTGTCTGATCACTGCCATTGCTAAGATTCAAATGCAAACATCTCAGTCAAGTCTGCATAATTGAGGGAATTTTCTTTAAATAAAGGTGAAGCCGTCTTTTCTCAATTTTATTAGCTTAATTGGTTTCTCAAATTAAGCCTAGTTTTTCTATTTTTTATTTATTAATTTATTTACTTCATTTTAATTATTTTTATTTTATTTGTTTATTCATTTATTTTTCATTTATTCATTAATTTCATTCATTTTAATTAAATTTATTTTATTTTATTTGTTTATTCATTTATTTTATTTTTCAATTATTTAATTCATTCATTTCAATTTATTTTGTTCATTTTATTTATTCATTCATTTATTTTATTTTTATTCTATTTTATTTTTAATAATTCATTTAATTATTAATTAATTAATTCATTCATTCATTCATTCATTCATTCATTCATTCATTCATTTATTCATTCATTTTGTTCATTTATTTATTTTCCCTTATTATTAAGCACTGGTTTGCTTAAAAAAAAAAAGTGAAGTTTATCTCTTGGTTTTATTATCAAAATCCTCTAAATATTTTATAATAAATCCAGAATATTAATTTTTAAAGAAAATATGCACAGTATTTTTAATGACCACATCAAATTTTTTAGTGAAAATTACAAGTCTCAAGATAATTTTTTTACAGTGAAAGGTCGCCACAGCTACATACTACAAATTTTAGCAATTGTAACTAATAATCCAGACTATGCACCCTATACAAATATTTTTGACTGTATATATCACAAAAAATATATATGTTGTAATGTCAGATTTTTCCAATATCATGCAGCCCTAATTCTAAGGGAGTCCAATTTTAATTGAGATCATTTTGAATCAGTGCATTGTTGTTGTGGCGGTTTATTCCATTGATTAATTAAGCGACTTAGCAAAAAAGAAAATAAATGGATAAATGCATTGCTGATGTTTCTTCTCATTTTTCCGCAGGGTTTGGGCACAGCTGATAACACTCTGATCCGCATCATGGTGTCTCGCTCGGAGATCGACATGCTAGACATCAGAGAGTGTTTCAGGCTGCGCTATGAGAAATCACTGTACAACATGATTCAGGTGCATACAGCATACACTAAATCTACATGTCTTGTATTTATTTGTGAATGATTTTGATCATGATAATGTTAATTAAGATAAGAAATATTAGGAATGCATCGGAATGAAAATTCTGAGCTGAAATAGAAAATGACGGATGCGCTTGGTGGAAAACTAAAACTGAAAATGCTTTTCAATTATTATTCATTATTTTATTCAATGATATACAGTAATTTGATAAGACTTTTTAAATTTATCTCAGTTATGCTGACATATATTGTGCTTTGGCGTCCGGAGTTTGAGTCCTGGCATGCAAATCTTTCATCTTTTGTTTTCTTTTCTTTTATGTTATTTTATTTTTAAATTGATTTATTCATTAATTTAATTTAATTTAATTTTATTTTATTTTATTTTATTTTATTTTATTTTATTTTATTTTATTTTATTTTATTTTATTTTATTTTATTATTTTGTTTATTTTTTGTTTTATTTTTCATTTATTTATTTATTATTTCATTCTATTTTATTTTATTTAAATTTGTATTTATTCATTTATTTCATTCATTCATTCTATTTTATTTTATTCATTTTATTTATTTATACATTTATTTTATTTTTCATTTATTCATTCATTTATTTATTTCATTCATTCATTTTAATTTATTTAATTTATTTTATTTTTCTTTTATGAATTTTTCTCTTCTATTTTACTTTATTCGTTTTTTAATTATTAATTTTATTTTTCATTTGTGCATTTATTTCTTTCATTCATTCTATTTTATTCCATTCATTTTATTTATTTATTCATTTATTTTATTTTCCATTTAATTATTTATTTATTCATTTCATTCATTCATTCATTCATTCATTCATTCATTCATTCATTCATTCATTCATTCATTCATTCATTCTAACTTAATTTATTTTATTCATTTATTTTATTTTTTATTTATTTATTCATTTATTTCATTCATTTTAATTTATTTCATTCATTTTAATTTATTTCATTCATTCTATTTTATTTTATTTTATTTTATTTTATTTTATTTATTCATTTTTTTATTTATTCATTTATTTACTTAATTTTAATTAATTTAATTTTATTTGTTTATTCATTTATTTTATTTTTCATTTATTTCGTTTATTTCATTTATTCATTCATTTCAATTTATTTTGTTCATTTTATTTATTTATTCATTCATTTATTTTATTTTTATTCTATTTTATTTTTAATAATTCATTTAACAATTTATTCATTCATTCATTCATTTCGTTCATTTATTTATTTTCCCCTATTTTCACTTAATACCTTTAAGTTTTATTAAATGAATGTTGTCCTTGGCTGATTTGATGTTGATGCAGAAATTCTAATAACATATTTTTAATTGAGTTTTATTGACAGTATTTAAATGAACATTTTCCCCACAGCAGTATGATTGACCTTTTATGATATAAAATCAGATGCAGCGTATTTCCAAAAAATACTGTAGACACACAGCAAACATGATCATGTGCATGCTACAAGGTAAACACAGAGTTCTGTTGTTTGTGTAAATAAAAAATCATGTGTTAAACCAACAGGACGACACATCTGGAGATTATAAACGAACCCTGCTCAAACTGTGCGGAGGTGATGACGAGTAAGTCTTTTTTTTTGGTGGAAATGAATCATAACTTTATATGCAAGAATGACAAGTAAGCCAGTTGAAATGGCTCTCAAAAATTAAGTTATTTATTTGCTATTATATTTTTTAATTAATTATATTTTTAATCAATTAAGTCATTCTTTTTTATTTAATTTTATTCATTTAATTTATTTTTTTATTAATTAATTAATTAATTAATTAATTAAATTAATTTTTAATTAATTTTTTTATTCATTTTAGTTATTTTTGATTGTATTTTTCATTTGTTAATTTTTTTATTCATTCTATTTTATTTTTTAAAATTTATTTTGCCTAAAATTTTGCCTTAAAGGCCTCTCAAAACTTAAGTTATTTATTTGATATATTTTTATTTCTAATATATATTTATTAATGAACGTTGTTGTTCTGAAAACCTTTATACTTTAAAACTCTCGAATCCAGGCTTAAAGACTTTACATTAATTATAAACATCCGCCAGAGGGAGACATTGGTCTATCATAAAACAGGCTAGTACAGTATTTACAGTATTTATACAGTAAATGTTTATACACTACATATGCCTTTACATTGTCATCAAAATCAAAGTTAAATGTTGTGAAATATTATTACAATTTAGAGGCTCTATTTTTCGATTTCAATATATTTTAAAGTCTAATTCATTTGTGTGATTTAGTGCTGATATTTTAGCATTATTACTCAAGTATGTCACATGTAACATGCTCAAAAAAAATCTTAATAATTATGCTGTGTTCAGATTTCACATAAACCATGTAACAACTCAAATAAATGCCATTTGTTTGAAATAATAGACTATTGCAGCATTAGAAATATTCTTTGATCAATATATAGTATATATAATACTCTCACTGAAAAAAATCTCATTTTAAAGGCACAGTGCACCAAAAAATCCCCACCCTTTACTCACACTCAAGTGTTTTTTTCCTTCTGTTGAACCAAAGGGAAGATATTCTGAAGAATGTTGGAAAAAACAGCCATTGAAATTCATACGCCAACTCGATTTCCCCCTAGTAGAACATGTTACTGGATTAACATCTATGTAGATCCTGGAACAACATTCCAATCAGCCAATCAGAATTCAGGGATATCTTATGGTTTATGTGTATGCACCTCTGCATGATTGATATCCAAATATTATTCCCTTCTGATTGTGCGATTAATTTATAGTTGTGGTTGGGTTTGGGGGTAGGGAATATGTTTTTGAACAAAAATGATCAACCAGGATCAACGTAATTGTTAATCCAGGATTGCATCGTACTTGCCAAAATCATGACGTGTGACATTCATAGGATCAGAAATACAATGGAAGTCAATGGCTGTTTTTATCCAACATTCATTCATTCATTCATTTTCCTTCGGCTTAGTCCCTTTATTCATCAGCGGGAGCTACAGGTGAACGAACCACCAACTTATCCAACATATGTTTTACACAGCGGATGCCCTTCCAGCTGCAACCCAATACTGGGAAACATCCATACAATCTCATTCACACACATCCACTACGGACAATTTAGCTTATCCAATTCCTCTATAGCGCATGAGTTTAGACTGTGGGGGAAACCGGAGCACCCCGGAAGAAACCCACAGAACATGCAAACTCCACACAGAAATGCTAACTCACCCAGCCAGGACTTTTGCTGTGAGGCAAAAGTGCTAACCACTGCGCCACTGTGTCGCCCATTTATCCAACATTAATCAGAATATCTTCCTTTGTGTTCATCAGAAGAACGAAAATCTAAAATCTAAATAAATGCTGACAGAATCTCTTTACAGCTTCCTGCAGTATTGCACTTTTAAATGCCTCCATATTTATGTACATACTATACCAGGGGTGTCAAACTCAATTCCTGGAGGGCCGCAGTCCTGCACAGTTTAGTTCCAACCCTGCTCCAACACACTTACCTGTAGGTTTCAAACAAGCCTGAAGGACTCAATTAGTTTGATCAGGTGTGTTTAATTAGGGTTGGAGCTAAACTGTGCAGAGCTGCGGCCCTCCAGGAATTGAGTTTGGCATGCCTGTACTATACAGTTTAGATGTTTATGCAGATTTCAGAAGAGATCAACTATTTTGTTTTTGTCAATTCACCGCAAAAATGCTTTTCTCACTTAGATTTTTTTTGTCTTGTTTCTAATATAAATATTAAAATATTCTTAAGTCAAAAAGCGTTTTCTGGACAAGCAAAAAATGTTGCGTTTTAAGAAAGAGTGAGTCCAAATTAAATGAGTTTTTCATTAAAACAAGCAAAATAATCTGCCAATGGGTTAAGCTAAATAATATTATGTCAAATTATTTAGCTTACCCCATTGGCAGATTATTTTGTTTGTTTTAAGGAAAAACGGTAACACTTTACAATAAGGTTCATTAGTTAATGCGTTAACTAACATGAACTAATCATGAACAACACATGTACAGCATTTATTAATCATAATTGAACATTTACTAATGCATTATTAACATCCAAGTCCATGCTTGTTAACATTAGTTAATGCACCGTGAGTTAACATGAACTAACAATGAAGAACTGTATTTTAATTAACTAACTTTAACTAGCATGAACAAATACAGTAGTAAATGTATTGTTCATTGTTTGTTCATGTTAGTAAATGCATTAATTGACATTAATTAATGAACCTTATTGTAAAGTGTGACCGGAAAAACCTCTCTTCATTTCTTAAAACAACACAATATATTTTGCTTGTCTAGAAAATGATTCTTAATTTAAGAATTTTGAGATATTTGGACTAGAAACAAGGCAAAAACTCAAAGTAAGAGAAGGGGATTTTTAGAAAGCCTGTTTGGATCATTGGCTCCATATGTCTCAATGGTAGTACCGGTACTTATTATTTTCTTATGTGTATGTATTTTTGGTCCATGTCTTCTGAGATGTTTTATGGCACGAATGTATAGGATGGTTAATGCCTTAGGTAAAGGGTATGAACATTTAGCTATGAATGGAACTGAGGGTAACCATTTAACATGTAGGGTTTATGAGAATATGGTATTGTAACCCATCAGATAATGATGAGTGAATAATAGCCACAAAAATTAATCAGAACTCTATGACTCATTCAAACCGTTTTTATTATAAAGTACAAAACCAGTTACTCGTTAAAACATTGCATAAATGGGGCAATTTCAATGTAAAAAGAGAATGCTAAAGAAAGCAACACAAAAAAACAAAACATTCAGGGCAAACCACAGGCCTACAACGGGGCAGGACGAAGTGTGAGAAGATGCAACAGATGAGTAGCTCTTAACTCCCAGTAGCACAGCAATCATTTTACATTTACATTTACATTTAGTCATTTAGCAGACGCTTTTATCCAAAGCGACCTACAAATGAGGACAAGGAAGCAATTTACACAACCAAGAGCAACAATGAATAAGTGCTATAGGCAAGTTTCAGGTCTGTAAAGTCTAAGAAGGGAAGTATTAGTAGCATTAGTATTTTTTTTTTTTTTTTTTGTACAGTTAGTGTGATATTCAGAGAGGCAATTACAGATTATGAAGTGTAGTGGAGACTAAATAGTTGAGTTTTTAGTCGTTTCTTGAAAGTAGCGAGTGACTCTGCTGTTCTGATGCAGTTAGGGAGTTCATTCCACCAACTGGGCAGATTGAGCGTGAGCGTTCGCGAAAGTGAATTCTTCCCTCTTTGGGATGGAACCACGAGGCGACGTTCATTCACAGAACGCAAGTTTCTGGAGGGCACATAGATCTGCAGAAGCGAGAGCAGATAAGAAGGAGCTAGGCCAGAAGTCACTTTGTAGGCAAACATCAGAGCTTTGAATTTGATGCGAGCAGCAACTGGCAGCCAGTGCAAACGGATGAGCAGCGGAGTGACATGTGCTCGTTTAGGTTCATTGAAGATCACTCGTGCTGCTGCGTTCTGGAGCAGCTGAAGAGGCTTGATAGAGTTAGCTGGAAGCCCAGCTAGTAGAGAGTTGCAGTAATCCAGTTTGGAGAGAACAAGAGCTTGAACAAGGAGTTGAGCTGCATGTTCAGATAAGAAGGGTCGGATCTTTCTGATGTTATAGAGTGTGAATCTGCACGATCGAGCAGTTCTAGAGATGTGGTCAGAGAAGTTTAGTTGGTCATCAATCGTTACTCCAAGGCTTTTCACCATTTTGGATGCAGTAATCACACTACAGCAACCACAGCACTCCAAAAATATACACAAATCACCACAAACCGTTGGGTTCCCACCACCTCACCAGTGCCAGTCACACCCACGGAGGAGACGAGCGGCTGCCCTTTAACACACAAGAGGAGTAACAAAACAAACCAAAGAAAAAGTTACAATAATATTTGTACACAGCACACAACAAACAGGGCCTTTCACCTAAATCAACAAACAAAAATAGTAAAAGCTAGTCCTGTAACACAAAAACGACTTAATAAATATTTGTGAATAGGAAATCTGCATTAAAATAGCTTTGGATAAAATTCAAATACCTTACATAACTGGACCTAACCGAAAGGAATTAAAACCCAACCCAGAGTTTCTTCTTAGAGAACCTATAAAACCATTTTATTTAAATAATCACATTATTTAATAGTAAATATTAAAGTAAGTAGCATTTAAGTTCCTTTTACCTTTTGAATGTAATTCACACAAGTAGCATATCAGTTAAAATCTGCCGACTGTGTCACCAGGCCAATCACCATTAACACGGGTGGGGTTCTGAAACACAACACAATAAAGTAACTGTTTACCCCGCCTTTCTTCTCGCATTTCCTACCTCGCAATAAATCCCATGCGTGAGGGCACTTTATATCCTCCGCTACACAGAGCTGATCTAACAACATATTGTTCTATATGCATGCAATCAAACTTGAAATGATGACATCAAATAAACAAACAGCTCTCCTGACACAATGAACAAACATAGTCACAATTACTATAATAGTTACCCTAGTAGCAAAGAATTCTGGCCCAGATTTGGCATAAAGCTAGGACATCAGGCATTCATCCGGCACTGGCATACAGCATGTGGGCCAACCATGGCCTGGGTTTGGCAGAGGTGGCACCGTCTATAATGCGGCACACAAGATTTGGGCCAGATGTAAAATGTAGTATTTGGCCCAGATTTTAAAAATTGATTGTGGGCCACGTGAGTTTGGCCAGTCTTGACCCACATTTAAAATACATGAAAATATTTTTTGATTAAATAAATCAATTCTACCAATCAGGTCACTGAGAAAAAACAAGGCCCATAGTGTGCCTAAAGCACAACGCTTCATAGGTTTATTAATTTCATTGCAATCGTGACACACCAACCTTTCTGGCCCAGTTCAGGCCCAGTTATGAGTTATTAACTTGGCTGAGACTTGGCCCAGATATGGTCCGTGTTTGGCCCTTGTCTGGAAGCCAGATTTGGTCCAGTCATGTACCGTAATTCACAGCGGTATGTGGGCCAACCAAAACCTGATTGTGTGGGCCAGAGCTGGGCCAGAGAAATTTTGCTATGTGGGTAGAGAACAAATTACCTGCTTGATACCCACTTGTTTGTAGCCTCAATGAATGACAACCAAAGGCATGCTATGCTGTTGTGCGTCTATTTATAGCGCGTACTGACACCTATTACGCTACGTTACGCTGTGCTACGGACTTATGGGAAATGTAGTGCCAAACCCCTACGTCGCCCCATCACAGTATGATCCAGGCTCTTGTAAAAACAGAGCCTGGAAGAGGGGATTGAAAGAAATATCCATGTAGTCACTCTCCAAATATTCTGTTTTGTAACTGTGTCTTATCTTATTGGGAGTTGTCCCTGTACTAGGCGCCTTGACGTTGCGCCTTGACATTCTTGAGCACTGGATAAAATTGTTCTGCCTAACTGAGCTGAATATTTGCACGTATTCATAGCCCATATAACCCTGAGTATGATGTATAAAAGCTGGGAATACCCCAGACTTCTTTAGAAGAGAGCAATAAACTGTTGGATTCACATCTCTCAGTTGTTGTTGCCTTCCTGGAGCTCCAGCTTACTGAGGAAACACACAGACGATCTGCAATTTATCCCAACAATTGTTGTTATGTTTTGAGCACTGAAATAAATAGGATGTGTTTGTTTGTCAGTATTGCAGGGGAGTTTTTCCCAGAAGCCGCACAGATCGCCTATAAGATGTGGGAGATCAGCGCCATGACCAAAGTCCAGGTTGGAGTTCTGCTTTTCCTCTCATTTTACACTGAAAAAGAAAAGTTTAGCTGCGTCCCAAATCGCATACTTATGCACTATTCTACGCCATTTTGTAGTATAAATAGTGTAAGTCGTGTGTTCACACTGAAAACTCAAAAAATCATAAGTGCACTTTAATTACCCGGATGATGCACTCATTCAGCTGCTGAAATGAAGTGTGTAATGATGGACGCTTCACGCACGACAAAGAGCATAGAATCACCAAGAGGCGACACTCTAGTGCAATATGGTAAACAGCCACTAGATGGCGCGGCAGCCATTTTGGAATGAAAACTCCAATAGAACAACAGCATATTATAAGTCTGCATATTAAAAGTGCTGATGATTGTGATAGGAAGTGTTGTTTTGTCGTCTTTCAGGTTGTATTTCAACCTTGATGCACTTTTTAAATGAATAAATAAAAAACAAAGTGGCTGCTTGCCATCGCGACCAATGGACAGCCGATTGCTTTCACTCCAAAATGGTGGAATCCGGGGCAGTTGCTGGGCGCTGCTGTTGCAATGGAACGTTCTACTGAGTGTCGCCTCTTGATCATTCTAAGCTCTTTGCGCACTCAACGACCGCAGGTTTGCTTCGGAAGGGGCGGAGCTATCGGACGCACATGTTGAATAACTTTATTTATTTTGGATGGTGAAAGCAAAATTCTCCTACGAGAGTGAATATAGCGCCTCCCGATGGTTAATGCGGTTATACTCACGGCAGGTATTATTTGATAATTCGGTCGTTTATTTCACTGATTCGGCAACTGTGAAACGTCATTAGGGAAACGGTGTGAATTTCCGCTTAGTGAAAAAACATTAGTGCTCCATTTGGGATGACACTACATACATATACTATATTGTTGGGTGTGCAAGTGCATAAGTACATAGTGCATGAGTGCATAGTGTATAGTGTGCCATTTGGGATGACACTATATACATATACTATCCTGTTGGGGGTGCAAGTGCATAAGTACATAGTGCATGAGTGTATAGTGTGCCATTTTGGGACGCAGCTATTATTTTTTTTAAGGTAAGTAGTTGCAAAAAATGGCATGGGCTTAACAAAATTAAACAAATTTAATTTATTAATGTAACTTAAGTAACTTAATTTGTTTGTTTAATCCAGCTCATATAAATTGTTTGCAACAACTTACCTTAAAAGGTTTAGTAAATCCATTGAATGTTTTTTCAGTGTGTTCAGTGGGTAGAGAAAGTATTCAGACCCCCTTATGTTTTTCACTCTTTCTTAAATTGCAGCCACTTGCTAAAATCATTTAAGTTTTTTATTTCCTCATGAATGTACACACAGCACCTTATATTGACAGAAAAACACAGAACTGTTGACATTTTTGCAGATTTATTAAACAAGAAAAACTGAAATATCACATGATGGTCCTAAGTAGGGATGTAACGGTATCAGAATTTCACGGTACGGTAATACCTCGGTATGAATGTCACGGTACGGTATTTATTGAATCATTTACAGGAAAAAACAAAACTTATGAAAATACTCCAAAAAAGTGCCAAAAGTGTCAATGACATACAAATTAGCCATCTATCTGTAAGCTTTGAAACAGAAACTTCAATTTTAATAACAAAAAATTATTAAACCATGTAAAAAAATAAAGTTTCAATTTAGTAGTGTTGAAAACTCATCACATTCAACATTTAATCACTCACTCACTTAGATAGAGATGGGTTTAAAGAAAAATTATCATATAAATATAATCTGGTAAAAGCTGGTATCTCTGGGCATTTACAATGTCCCCTGCAACAGAAAAAAACCCTCTCATTTGGGACTGAGGTTTCTGGGACAAGAGAGATATGACTTGGCCCAGGTTGACAGCAGTGGGTAACGTTGTGCATTGTCTTTCCCCCACTTGAGAAGACAAACCATGAGTAAGATAGAGATCTCATGTCTGCATCAATCTGAACAGTGTGCTGACAACACCGCTATTCAGTACGCGCGCGACAACACAGCTGATAAGAACTCGCGCGACAACACCGCTATTCAGTACGTGCGTGAAAACACAGCTGATAAGAACTCGCGCGACAACACCGCTATTCAGTACGTGCGCGGCGACAACACCCGCTTTAGAGTTTTCCAGGTCTTTTTCATCCCCGCTCCTAGCAGCACACTCCATTTCCGCATTACTGGATCTGTAGCGACAACAGACCGCAAGGGATGATGGTCAAGCATGGGCTGATGGGAATTGTAGTTTTCGCTACCTCCCGTTTGCTTCATTCGCCTGAGCAAATTTTCTCAGAAGACCTATAGTTTTACCGAGTCATGCGACTACGGTAATATCGAAAAAAATTAATATTGCGGTATGACTGTATTTACAATACCGTTACATCCCTAGTCCTAAGCATTCAGACCCTTTGCTGTGACACTCATATTAACTCAGCTGCTGTCCATTTCTTTTGATCGTCCTTGAGATGCTTCTACACCTTCACTTGAGTCCAGCTGTGTTTAATTACTAGGGGTGTCAAAATTAATTTTTTTTTCGGTGCACCGCGATGCAGACGCGGACAATTCAGTATCGGTTCAGTAATAATCATAACCGGTTATTATGTACTGACGTCATTTATCTCCTATGCGCTCTGTCGCGAGGGAGGTGATGAGCGCGAGTATTTACAACACTCAGCCAACTCAGGGCCGGCCCGTGGCATAGGCACCATAGGCAAATGCTAAGGGCGATGTACATCCAGGAGGGCGCCAGAAATGAGCGCGGTTCAGTTGGTTTTGTTTTGATATTCCTGACACACATTCAGTTATAGACGGCAATAACTCAAAAACCTCTTACCCTAAAAAGATCTAAAGTGAGTTTCCTACAAAAAGACAAAGCTGGTTATAATTCACAGCTGTCTTTCTTTTCTTTTGCTCGGCATTACGAGCACTGCTCCGTTTAAGCCCTCGCAATATGCTGAGTGGAGCTTTCAGTAAGAGATCGTCGGAGAAGTGCTTCTTTTTTACATTTGTTTTTTTCGTTTTTCTGCTCCGCTCTGTGCGAACTCTCCCTGTTGCGAGGGCTTAAGTGCGTGTGTGTGTGTGTGTGTGTTTGTTTGGTGCTGTCTATGTTTGTGTATGTGTGTGAATGAGAGACAGTGTGTTGCTGTGTGTCTGTGTGTTTATACAGACAGCTTGTTAAAGCCTCCCCCCTAAAATATAACACTGTGTATGGAAAGCATCGTCAATGCACCGTGATGCACCAAGATATCGAATTGAACCGAATCGAAGGCATTGTAACCGAACCGTGAGACCAGTATAGGTTCACACCTCTATTGATTACACTGATTGGTAGGGATGTAACGGTATCAGAATTTCACGGTACGGTAATACCTCGGTATGAATGGCACGGTACGGTATTCATTGAATAATTTACAGGAAAAACAAAATAATGAAAAGACTCGAAAAAAGTGCCAAAAGTGTTTATTTACCTTAGCACTGAACATATCAATGACATACAAATTAGCCATCTATCTGTAAGTTTCCAAACAGGAACTTCAATTTTTCCATTTTAATAACAAAAAACTATTAAACCATGTAAATAAATAAAGTTTCAATTCAGTATTGTTGAAAACTCATCACATTCAATATTTAATCACTCACTCAGATAGAGATGGCTTTTTTAAGGAAAATGATCATATAACTATAATCTGGTAAAGCTGGGATCTCTGGGCATGTCCCCTGCAATAGAAAAAAATCCCTCTCATTTAGGACTGAGGTTTCTGGGACAGAGAAATATGATTTAGCCAAGGTTGACAGCAGTGGGTGACGTTGTGCATTGTCTTTCCACCACTTGAGAGGACAAACCATGAGTGAGATAGAGATCTCTTTGCGGTACAAGTCAATGTCTGCATCAATCTAACAAGTGTGCTGTGTTCTGCAGTCCCCATGACTGTTTTTAGTCGTATTCCCCGACTTATATTTCACCACAGTCTGGCAGTGCCTGCATACTGGTTTTTTCTTTGTTTGTCACCTTTTCTCCTTTTTCGTATCTTTTTAGAAAGAAACCGAAATGTTTCCACACATCCGCATTAGGTTCGATCATTTCCAGCTCTTTTTCTTCCCCGCTACTAGCAGCACACTCCATTTCTGCATTACTGGATCTGTAGCGCCAACAGACCGCAAAGGATGATGGCCACGGCTAGGCTGATGGGAATTGTAGTTCCCGCTACCTCCCGTTTGCTTCATTCGCCTAAGCAAACTTTTCTCTGAAATATAGTTTTATTGAGTCATGCGCCTACGGTAATATTGAAAAAAATTACTATTGCGGTATGACGGTATTTACAATATTGTTACATCCCTACTGATTGGAATTGATTAGGAAAGCCACACACCTGTCTATATAAGATCTTACAGCTCACAATGCATGTCACAGCAGATGAGAGTCATGAGGTCAAAGGAACTGCCTGAGGAGCTCAGAGACAGAATTGTGGCAAGGCACAGATCTGACCAAGGTTACAAACATATTTCTGCTTCACTTAAGGTTCCTAATAGCACAGTGGCCTCCATAATCTTTAAATGGAAGATGTTTGGAGCGACTAGAACCTTTACTAGAACTGAGCTATTGGGGAGAAGTGCCTTGGTGAGAGAGGTAAAGAAGAACCCAAAGATCACTGTGGCTGAGCACCAGAGATGCAGTCAGGAGATGGGAGAAAGTTGTTGGAAGTCAACCATCACTGCAGCTCTCCACCAGACACATAAAAGGCTGCATGAAGTTTGAGAAATAATATTCTCTGGTCTGTGCAGACCAAGATAGAACTTTTGACCTTAATTCTGAGCAGTATATGTGGAGAAAACCAGGCATTGCTCGTCACCTGTCTAATACAGTCCCATCAGTGAAGCATGGTGGAGGCAGCATCATGCTGTGGGGGTGCTTTTCAGCTGCAGGGACAGGACGACAGGTTGCAATCAAGGGAAAGATGAATATAGCCAAATACAGGGATATCCTGCACGAAAACCATCTGCAGAGTGCTCCGGACCTCAGACTGGGCTGAAGGTTTACCTTCTAACAAGACAATGACCCTCAGCACACTGCTAAAATAATGGAGTGGCTTCACAACAACTCCGTGACTGTTCTTGAATGGCCCAGCCAGAGCCCTGACTTAAACCCAATTGAGCAGCTCTGGAGAGACCTAAAAATGGCAGTCCACCTACGTTTACCATCCAACCTGACAGAACTGGAGAGGATCTGCAAGGAGGAAAGGCAGATGAGCCCCAAATTTATGTGTGAAAATCTTGTTGCATCTTTCCCATTCTTATGACCTAAACCGGTCACCACAAATAAGAAGACGAGTGCAATTGCGGTAGAAAAACAAACTTATTTATTTACTTAATTCAAAAGTCATGCTAGCCCAACTCAGGTCCAAGACTAACCCAAGACGAAAGATAAGTGATGACCAGAATCCGCCTGCAGCCCTAATTCCCAAGTCCGTGACAGACACGCTATTTATAGCAGAGCAAATCAATCATACAACGATGTTCTCCATCCTGGCGCAATCAGCTGGACCTGCAACACACATACACACGCCGACGCACACAGACAGACACCCACACCCCAGCAACAAACGACCACAAGGTGCCGTCACACCATAAAGACTCAAAGCTGTATTAGATCAAAAATGTGCTTCTGCTAAATACTGAGCAAAGGGTCTGAATACTTGGGACCATGTGAGTCTTCAGTTGTTTTTTCTGTTAGATTAGTTCATCAGTTTTGTCTTGGCAACTGACTAATTTAATGTATATGCATTATATATTACTGTAAAGCCTCCTGTATTAAATATAAATTGATTGATTGATTGATTGATTGATTGATTGATTGATTGATTGATTGATTGATTGATTGATTGATTGATTGATTGATTGATTGATTGATTGATTGATTGATGAATTGAATCTGTGGTGGGTGAACTTGTATATGGTGAGCACTGTACACATATAAATATACAGTATATATGATTTTGTTTCCCTATCCATCACTAGTTGAGAGGAACTGTGCGGCCATATTCAGATTTTGACCCAGCCAGTGACGCTCAAGCTCTGAGAAAAGCAATGAAGGGTTTTGGTATGTAAAAAACACAGTATGTTACGCTTGATGACATCTCTATCAACAGATTTGCAAATATAGTAAAGGATTTCCTGTGATTTAATGTTTTTCCAGGCACTGATGAGGATACGATTATTGAAATTGTGGCACGCAGGAGCAATGAACAGAGACAGGAGATCAGACAGGCTTTCAAATCTCTTTTGGGACGGGTATGTGCTAACTAAAGCAATAGTTAGCTTTGATTTTGTGTGTACTTTAATGTGAACGCGTTTGGTCTTTTGTTGATGTTTTCCATCAGGATCTCATGGCTGATCTGAAGTCAGAGCTGTCCAAAAACCTCCAGAGACTCATTCTGGGTCTCATGATGACACCGGCCGACTTTGACGCCAAGATGATGAAGAAAGCCATGGAGGTATTTACAGGAAAATTGCAGTGATACAAATATGAACATTGCAACACATCTGAAACGTTAAAGGGCAGCATGGTGGCTCAGTGGTCACCTCACAGCACAAAGGTCGCTGGTTCGATCCCTGGCCAGGCCAGTTGGCATTTCTGTGTGGAGTTTGCATGTTCTCCTCATGTTGGCGTGGGTTTCCTCCGGGTGCTCCGGTTTCCCCCACAGTCCAAACACATGCGCTATAGGGGAATTGGATGAACTAAATTGGCCGTAGTGTATGTGTGTGTGTGTGAATGAGTGTGTATGGATGTTTCCCAGTACTGAGTTGTGACTGGAAGGACATATGCTGGAATAGTTGGCGGTTCATTCTGCTGTGGCGACATCTGATATGTATAGGACTAAGCCGAAGGAAAGTTAATGAATGTATCATTGAAAATATGGCCGCAGAGTGAACAGACTTTCCTTAAAAGGCACTTTGGTATTTTACACCTTGAGATTCCACAAATACTTTGATGTCTTTGACAATTCAAATATGAGCTGAAAACACAGAGACAGTCGGCTCCACAACCCACCAGGTGGGAATGCAGAGAATTAGCTCCCCTCCTTTCCTCCATTTACATTTGAAACATGTCCCGAAACACCCTTTGGTCACTCAGCCCCTTTTCATTCTACTCACACAGAATGGTCATTTCAAAATATGAATGTTCTAAATTAATCCAAGTCACTTTGTCTATCATGTTTGATATCATTTGAAATGTCTCAGAAATAGGCATAATCAAAACAATATTATATTAAAAAAAGAAAATAAATATTTTAAAAAAGAAAAAAAATGCAAAGGGGGCGAATAATTCTGGCTTTAACTGTATATTATACGAGAGACTTTGTTTACCGAACAAGTGGTTCTAATAGGACTTGCACTGCAAACCTTAAATACCAGTTAAAGATGTATTCTTTTTATTTATTGTTAAGTGTGTATATATATATGTGTGTGTATGTCTATGTATATCTATATACACATGTATGTATATCATTCATTCATTTTCTTGTCGGCTTAGTCCCTTTATTGATCCGGGGTCACCACAGCGGAATGAACCGCCAACTTATGCAGCAAGTTTTTACGCTGCGGATGCCCTTCCAGTCACAACCCATCTCTTGGAAACATCCACATACACATTCACACACACACACTCATACACTTCGGACAATTCACCTGTACCGCATGTCTTTGGACTGTGGGGGAAACCGGAGCACCTGGAGGAAACCCACGCGAAGGCAGGGAGAACATGCAAACTCCACACAGAAACGCCAACTGAGCCGAGGTTTGGACCAGCAGCCTTCTTGCTGTGAGGCGACAGCACTACCTACAGCACTGTGCACTGTATATAGGGGTGATAGCCTTATATATATATGTGTGTGTATGTGTATATATATATGTAAGTGTGTGTATGGATATATATTTTTTATGTGTATATATGTATGTGTATGTGTATATGTATGTGTGTATATATATATATATATATATATATACTGCATTCTGCACAGAAATACCAAAAATGTCCACAGATTTTGTCCAGCTGTGAAAATAAGCAGTGTTTTATGCTTTAACAGGGTGCAGGGACTGATGAACATGCGTTGATTGAGATCTTGGTCACTAGAAGCAATCAGGAGATTCAGGAGATGTGCTCGGCCTATCAGAACGGTAAATATATCGCACAGAGTGCAGCAGGGGGCGCTGTTCATCTGGGAAAAACACACACAGCAGTTGGGCCATTTTACACTTTGCACCTTCTCTGCTGTCTACACTGCCAGACAAAAGACTTGTCACTTATCCAAGTTTTAGGAGCATGCAAATAATAACTTGACTTCTAGTTGATCATTTGGTATCAGAAGTGGCTTATATGAAAGGCAAAGGCCTCTAGATGACGCTTATTTAAAAAAAAAAAATATGATCATGCCTTGACTTTTAATGATTTCATTAGGGCAGTAAGGTCTGACTTTGTTTAGACAAAAGTCTTGTCACTGAACAGAAATAATGTCCAGTATAGAATATAAAGTCCTGCTGCAGTGGAGACAGAATGGATATTGTGTCTGACTCCATCATGAGCTTGGAGGACTGCATCCATACATCTCTGCAATGACTCTGATTAATAAAGTCATCTGGAATGGCAAAGAAAGCGTTCTTGCAGGACTCTCAGATTTCAAGATTCTGTGCATTCATCTTCAATGCCTCCTCATTCATCTTCCCCCAGACATGCTCAATAATGTTCATGTCTGGTGACTGGGCTGGCCAATCCTGGAGCACATTGACCTTTTTTAATGTGGAGGCTGAAGAATGAGAAGGAGCGCTATCCTGCTGGAGAATTGTCCCTCTCCTGTGGTTTGTAATGTAACGGGCAGCACAAATGTCTTGATACCTCAGGCTGTTGATGTTGCCGTCCACTCTGCAGATCTCTCGCACAACCCCATACTGAATGCAACCCCAAACCATGATTTCTCCTTCACCAAACTTGACTGATTTCTGTGAGAATCTTAGGTCCATGTGGGTTCCAGTATGTATTTTGCAGTATTTGTGATGATTGGGATGTAGCTCAACAGGTTCATCTGAAAAATCCACCTTCTGCCACTTTTCCAAATGATCAACTAGAAGTCGAGTTATTATTTGCTGCTCTTACAACTGGGATCGTTCCACTAGCAATCAAACAAGTAACAAACAACACAGAATAATATGATTATCACAACTGAAGCAATTAATGAACAGAGAGAGGGGAAAGAAACAAATTAACCACAGAATACCTCAGACATCACATTGATTGTCTTATTGATATGCAACTCTAATGCTTTAGCTGTGTGTTTATCTGAAAATAACTGCAAACCTTAGAATCAGCCAATCACAATCAAGCATTCATGTAGTATAATCCTGCTTATTCCCAACATTTCACTCAATACTTTGCTTATTTGAAGTGTCAAAAGTGTTTATAACCCCTGTTATAAACGTCACTTTAATGTTCCTCTTTATAGCCTTTAAAAAAAGTTTGGAGGACGCCATCGCATCAGATACTTCTGGAACTTTTAAACGGATCCTGATCTCACTGGCACAGGTACATCTATACACTCCTCTCATCCAAACACAGATCCTCACACTTCATAAACTCGGACTTCACTTCTCTTTCCTGCTGTTTTCAGGGAGCTCGTGAAGAGGGTCCAGCAGATCTGGACAGAGCTTCAGAAGATGCACAAGTAAGTTGGAAAGACTTAAAAAGAAAACTCTGTCAGGTATCTATTTTTTTCCGGACACATAATAACTGCACTTCGATTTATGGCTTGCCAGGGTTTCCACTTGAAATTTCTCAGGGATTAATATGATATATTATACAATTTTATTTTATATATGAATTTTTTTCCAAGTCAAGGAATATTATGGATTTTTTTTCTGTCATTTTAGCGGAGCGGAGCTTACCTCCTCTGATGATACGTATAAAGAGAGAACGTCAATCAAAGTGTTTCTGCAGACTGTTTTATCAAGTGTGGTTATAAACAATACAATTAATTAATGTTCACCATTAGAGGCTTGTTATATTCACACACTATTGCCACACAACTATTTAAACCACTTATATAGGTGACTTTTGCATAATAGCTCCCCTTTAATAACATAAGTTACTCGTGCAAAGCCTCATGGGGTGTAGGATAAAAATATTATATCAACTGGTATCAATCAATACATTGTAATTGTAATAAATGTGTAATGTAAGGCGCTGGCGGACGCTTGCAATGCAGACTCGGATGATCTGGAGGACAAGTTCATGAGTATTTTGTGCACAAGGAGTTTCCCTCATCTGAGGAGAGGTAAAACACATTCAGATCACTCACACACACACACACACACACACACACATGCTAATACATGTTTAATCAATGATCACTCCAGCTAATGTTCTGCGATTCCCCTGCAGTCTTCCAGGAGTTTGTGAGGTGCAGCAACAAAGACATTGAACAGATCATAAAGAAGGAGATGTCGGGAGACGTGAAAAACGCCATGTTTGCTATCGGTAAAAGCATGGATGACCAAGCACTGAGAAAATGCTGATTTTATTTTAACACTATTTACTATTAAAAAAATAAATAAATAAATTATATATATATATATATATATATATATATATATATATATATATATATATATATATATATATATATATATATATATATATATAATAAAATAAAAATAAAGCAAAGTAAAATAATTATTTTGCTTTATTTTTATTTTATTTGAAGGTTTTTTACTTTTTTATATTATATTTTGTTTAATTTTTTTATTTTATTGTCATTTTATTTTTCAAATAAGTATTAAAAATGTTTTATTTAATTAATTTATTTAGACTTTTTTTATTAAAAAGCTTTATTTATTTATTTGTATTTTTTTGTCCTGAGACCTGAAAAATGCCAAGATGACAAAGCTCTAAGAAAATGCTGATTTTACTTTTACCAACACCAATTACTTTTATTTTGCTTTATTTTATTTTTATTTATTTTTCATTTTTATTTTAAATAAATTAGATTTTATTTAGATTTTATTTTATAATAATTATTTTTATAATTGTATTTTTATATCTTAATATATATATATATATATATATATATATATATATATATATATATATATATATATATATATATATCAAATGTATAGCAAAATATATTTTATTTTATTTTATTTTATTTATGTATTCATAATTTATTTTAACTTTTTTAATTAAACTTTTTATTATAAAATTTTTTTTTATTAAATTTTTTATTTTGTCGGGAGATGTGAAAATATGTCATGTTTGCTAATGGTTATTATGGTATTGTACTTTTATTTTGAATTTATTTTGCTTTGATTTTATTATTATTATTTTTTTATTTTACATTTTCCCATTTTTACTATTGTATTTCATTTTACTATTATCTTTGTTTTATTTTTATTTCATTATTTTATTTTTATATACTGCACAGGTCATGTCATCATGAAATAATATATATATATATATATATATATATATATATATATATATATATATATATATATATATATATATATATATATATATATTTTTTTTTTTTTTTTTTTTTACATTTTGCTTGGTATTTTGAGGTAGAGGTATTGTTGAAATTAGCCACTTATTGAATGGAAAGGTAGTTGATTTACATTTTATATTAAATGATCTTGGTAAATTAAATTATATCAGTGTCTAAATCGTATTCAATAATTCAATTTGTCAAGCAGAAATCATGGCCGACAATAGAAAATGAAAATCAGCATGTCAAATTTATGATTGCTTGCTTTAAACCTGACACTAAAAGGTTTATGTGATTCCAGTAACAATATCAATAATTGTGTATGTTTCCAGTGCGGAGTGTGAAGAATCAGCCTTCCTACTTTGCAGACCGATTGTACAAAGCCATGAAGGTAAAATGCATTTATTATGCAATATACAATAACATGCAATAATGTCTGCCGGAGGACAAACAAGATCTATTTCTTTTTTTATCTTTGAAATAGTACAGAAATTATTTGAAACTTTAAAGTATCCATTATTAAAAATGAATAAATAAAAAAAGTAAACTTGTTTCATAGTTTTTGTCATATATGCTGCATTATGAGTCAAAGGCCTTCATAAGCAGGTCTTAGATGAGGCGTCACACTCAAGGTTGTTATTGTAAATTAGCTTTTATTTCAATAGTATTTTTAATCTTTCTGTAATAATCGAATTGACTACCCTATGTTTTGACTTCCATTATAACCACATTTTTTTGGTTGCAAAGCTATGACAACATACAATCACCGGCCTCTTTATTATGTACACCTGTCCAACTGCTGGTTAACGCAAATTTCTAAGCAGCCAATCACATGACAGCAACTCAATGCATTTAGGCATGTAGACATGGTCAAGACGATCTGCTGCAGTTCAAACCGAGCATTAGAATGGGGAAGAAAGGAGATTTAAGTCACTTTGAACGTTGCCAGACGGGCTGGTCTAAGTATTTTAGAAACTGCTGATCTACTGGGATTTTCACACACAACCATCTCTAGGGTTTACAGAGAATGCTCAAAAAAAGTGAAAATATCCAGTGAGCGGCAGTTCTGTGGACGCAAATGCCTTGTTGAGGTCAGAGGAGAATGGCCAGACTGGTTCCAGCTGAAACAATGGTAACAGTAACTCAAATAACCACTTGTTACAACCGAGGTCTGCAGAAGAGCATCTCTGAACACACAACCTGTCCAACCTTGAGGCAGATGGGCTACAGCAGCAGAAGACCACATCGGCTGTCACTCCTGTCAGCTAAGAACAGGAAACTGAGGCTACAATTCACACAGGCTCAACAAAACTGGACAATAGAAGATTGGAGAAACGTTGCCTGCTCTGATGAGTCTCCATTTCTGCTGCCACATTTGGATGGTCAGGTCAGAATTTGGCGTCAACAGCATGTAAGCATGGATCCATCCTGCCTTGTATCAACAGTTCAGGCTGGTGGTGGTGTAATGGTGTGGGGGAGATTTTCTTGGCACACTTTGGGTTCATTAGTACCAATTGAGCATCGTGTCAACACCACAGCCTACCTGAGTATTGTTGCTGGCCATGTCCATCCCCTTATGACCACAGTGTCTCCATCTTCTGATGGCTGCTTCCAGCAGGATAACACACCATGTCATAAAGCGCAAATCATCTCAGACTGGTTTCTTGAACATGACAATGAGTTCACTGTACTCAAATGGCCTCCACAGTCACCAGTTCTTAATCCAATAGAGCACCTTTGGGATGTGGTGGAACGGGAGATTCACATCATGGATGTGCAGCCGACAAATCTGCAGCAACTGTGTGATGCTATCATGTCAATATGGAGTAAAATCTGAGGAATATTTCCAGTACCTTGTTGAATTTATGCCATGAAGGATTAAGGCAGTTCTGAAGGCAAAAGTGGATCCAAACCGGTACTAGTTAGGTGTACCTAATAAAGTGGCCGGTGAGTATATAATCAAGTATTCTTGATTGGTACTGGTTTTCCCTGTTGTAATTTTTTACTGTTTTGATTGAAAGTTTTAATTAATAACACAAAAGTAGCAGGATAGTTGTAAAAGAAAATAAAAACAAATATTGTTGAAAATGTTTTTTTTTTGACCAGTTGTTTAAGTTTGAGTCTTTAATTGTCATTTTCTAAAATAACCAATGGCCATTGTTATTAGCTTTGCATTTATTGTGAATTTTTTTATTCACTTATTGAAAATGTTTTTTTTTTTTTATCTTTTACAAAAGTAGCAAGATAGTTGTGCAAGAAAACAGGAATACATACTGTTGAAAATGTTTGTGTTTTTTTGACCAGTAGTTTTAGTCTTTTAGTCTTTAATTCTCATTTTTTAAAATAGTCATGGTCACAATTGTGCTGATTTTGCGTGCAGGGCCTGGGAACAGATGACCGTGCATTAATCCGCATCATGGTGTCCCGCTGCGAGATCGACCTCTTCAACATCCGCAAAGAGTTCAAGGAAACTCACGATGCCTCACTGCACGACTTCATCCAGGTAGAGGCGCTGGTTGTAAGTTGTGTGCTCCTCCGTCTCTCATTCTGCATGCTTTGTTTCTGCATGCCAACTTACAGCACTGAAAGAAATCACTTTTTGGTGGAGTAAAATCTCATAAATTTACTCTCATCATTTTTAAATTGTGACATTAAGGGCTCTATTTTGACGGTCCATGCGCAGAGCACAAAACGCAGGGCACAATCGCTTTCAGGTCGTGTCAGGACGTGTTTTTGCTAATTTAAGGACGGGAAATCTGCCTTGCGACGTGGCGCATGGGCTAAAAGGGTTGAGTTTATTTTCTTAATGAGTTATAGGTGTGTTTTGAGGATAAACCAATCAGAGTCTCATCTCCCATTCCCTTTAAGAGTCAGCTGCATCGCGCCACGAGCGCATTCGCTATTTACAGGACGCAAAGTAAGTCTAAGTGGAAAAACTGAGCATTTCACAAGCAAACAGTTCACAGTTAACAGTTTATTAACAGAAAACAGTTAAACAGAGCATCTACTGCGTGAGAATGAGAGATAATGGATCTACTTTTACTTTCGCTCTTGGATAGGGAAACCTTTACGCAAAGACATCAATTAGTCTATAAATAATTAATTTCGTTTGTTAATCGCAAATATTTGTTTCAAAACTATTTCTAAATTCAGTTCTAATTTCCAGCAAACGAATAAATAAATAATAATAGCAAAATGTGCTCAAAAACCTGAGTTATATCCTAAAACACATGCTGTGCCCCATATGGTCTAAAACCTGACAAGTGGGCAAATCTAAGCTTGTTTTTAATAAAACAAATATAAATATGGATATAATAAATAATACTGCTAATAATAATAACATTATACAAAAGCAAATTGTTATGAATGAACTGAAAAAGCCTCCCGAGATGAAGAAGACATAAAAGCAGTGGTTTTTCATATTTATGTAGGCTAGAAAATAATATGTTTTTTAATATTTTAATCCTTTATATTTATATTCTATATCTATTCTTATTATATCCTATATATATCCTTAATATTTACATTTTTTCATATGTAAAGATATTTGCCTATTGCTCTCTTGTGCGTATTAAGCAGTGTGTAAGCGAGGCGCAACTCTGCGCTGCAGTTTAGACCGGGTTAGTTTTGGTCTAATGAAAAATCTATTATAGTTTCTCAAAATAGCAACGCACCAGCGGTCTGCCTCAGAACGTCTTCCTTTTTAGACCAGAACACCTATAGACGCACAAATAAGCGCTAATGCATTTGCTATTTAAACAGCGTAGCGCAACGCCTCAAAACGATTCTTGCGTCAAGCTGAAACTAGCAAACAAGTATTGCGCCGCGTCTTGCGCCACACTGCGCCGGGTGTATGATAGGGCCCATAATTATTTTACCAGTTTACCTACTAGCCCTAAACTGCTCCTGTCCCAACTTTTCTAGACTTTCTTGCAGGTCTGAATGACAGGAAAGGATGTATATTTACAAATGAAATGAAGTTGACTAGACAGAACATCAAATATTTACTGTTCATGTTGTCTGCAACAAGTCCTAGTAAATTTAGCAATCACTACTTTATTTTGTATTTGCTTTTTCCATACTGTCCCAACCTTTTCTGATTTGGGGTTGTAATTAATTGAGCAGTGTCAGGTTAAACATGAAGCACATTTTAACATGATATTGCCAAGTTAATTGTACTTGAAATAAGATAGTAACATTTTATTTGTCATTCGCTCATGCAAACTGTTGTAAAGTAAATCTTAAGAGTTATTTTTTCTGTAGGCCCAGTTGTGTAGATATTGTGTTTGGTCGTAATGTAGGCGTCCACATCCTCTTTTGGTTAATTGGAGGGGAACAGAGTGTTTGTGGTGAACTCGCTCGGCTCAGCTGTTTAGGAATTTCCCCAGCATTGCTTGACTTCCTCCGCGAGCGCTCGTTGATTGGTGAAGAGGCTGCAGACAGGAAGTGCTCAGTAACAGGTCTATACTGGCTCTGCAGTCAAAACTCCCTTCACAGATCAATAATAACACTGTTATATATTGGTTCTCTGTTTTAGATACTCTTAAAGGGGCAGCTCATGCAAACATAAAAATGCAATCAGCGTCTACTCTAGTGAGTTTCTTTATTTTGTTGAACACAAAAGAAGATATTTTGAAGAATGTTTAAAAACGTGTAACCATTGACTTCCATTGAACAAAAAACTATTTCTATTGAAGTCAATTGTTAATGGTTTAAAAAAAAAGTATCTTTTATTTTTATAATCTAAAAAACCTTTATAATATAATTTTTTCTTTTGGATCTGAAGGATTGTTTCTGGGATCATTAGGAAGCATTCAAAAAATTGGACAATAGAATAGAAAAGTGGTTTTGTACTGGCTCTGCAGTCAAAAATCCATTCAGAGATCAATAATAGCACTCGGCTGCTGATATATGTTGGTTCTTTGTTGGCCTTTTAAAGGGGCAGTTCATGCAAAAAAATAAAAATGTCATCAGCATTTACTCAAGTGCACAGGTGTCAAACTCAGTTCCAAAAGGGCCGCAGCTCTGCACAGTTTAGTTCCAACCCTAATTAAACACACCTGATCAAACTAATTGAGTGCTTCAGGCTTGTTTGAAACCTACAGGTAAGTGTGTTGGAGCAGGGTTGGAACTAAACAGTGCAGGGCTTCGGCCCTCCAGGAATTGAGTTTGACACCCTGCTCTAGTGGGTCCAAATATTTATGCACTGCAAATATTGTTGGATTTCACACAATTGATTTGTGTTGGCACAACACGGAGGAATTAAATTCACTTATTAGTTTAACTTTTAACACATTAAAGTGGATTCAACTTAAGAATCGAGTTGTCCTCCAAAAACTCAAGAATTAGGTTGTTTCAGCTCTTTTTAAATTAAGTAGTTTGAACAAACAGCAAACATCATTTTTTAAGTCTGAGATCTTTATTTTGTTGAACACAAAAGAAGATATTTTGAAGGATGTTTAAAACCAATGCTCAGTCTAAAAACGCAGCCCTCTATACTTTTATGAAGATTGTGAGTTATGTAGTCAGAAGTATGTATGTAGCTGCATTTCATCTTTAACCTCTTAAGGCCCAAGGTGTTTTTTTACATGCATTTTTTATTTCTCTTTGCTATTTGGGCTTATTGGAAAATAATTAAAATAAAACCTAAGTATTATCTTTTGAAATGATGTACTTTGAGAGAAAAATGTTGCCCATACATGTGGACTCATGGTCCGAATTTACATAAAACACCTTTTCCTGTTTTTTAATGCATATATAACACATAATTTATTATATGTTTTGACTATCAGCAAGTAAAAACAACATTTTGTCCCATTTTGGACAGCTAAAAATAGAGTTTTTTTTTTCATATGCTGCCAAACAGTTGCAGGATGAAACAGTATGTCTGTAACAAAATATAAAACATTCAAAGTATTTTAGGTAGCCACTTAAGAACCAACATGTGCTGTCCACGTATGTGGCCACTAAGGAGGTTTTATACGAAGGGTATAGGCTGGTACGACGCCGTTCCTTTTCGCGCTTACCAGTTGACCACTTAATTCCATATGGACGGCTTTCCTGCTGTTACCAGTAACGTTCACACCGATAGCAGGAGAGAGCGTCAAAGTAGCCGGTAGTCATTCATTTTCAAAGATCACAGTTGTTCCCAAAGGTTTGATTATTGCGGTCACCGGATTTCCAATTATTTGCAATGTTTTCTTACAGGAACACACATTAAAAAGTTACTGGCGAGTTATTGATGTGCATTAATGTTATTTATATTTATCTTTAAAAAAGCGGGAATCTCATGCGACAGTACAAAACAGTATTGCTGCTTCAGGATATTTCAGACATAGACTCATTGGATAATTAAGTGGAGCAAAGCCACACCGCATGCAACTCGATCTTCCATTGTTAAATGAATTTGATAAGAAGTGCGCAACATTTTCACGCTAGAAACATGTTTGATGCAGGAATGTAACTGATATGCTGCAACAGCCCCTTTAAATAAGAGATCAATGTAGTGAATTTTGACGCTCTCGCCGCCGGAGCTGAAGGCAGACAGCGTTGTCGCCATGGTGAGCGACCTTGGACGTTCTCACCGCTTTCAGTTTGAACACGCAGTCCAATTAGCTCACCATGTATGTCAGTGGACTTGAGACACAGAAAATAACAGGGTGAGAATGTGGTAAAACGTGGTAAAATCAGGCGAGGGCTTTTCTTTTTCTGGACTGCTTTGTAATTTGTCGTTTGGGTTTAGGGAAGTGAGCAGGTCAATCGGTGCATTGAAAACACTAATGGTTGGGTTTAGGGAAGGGGGAGGGTGGTTCAGTCGATCAGTCAGTCAGTCATTCAATCAGCCAAACATTCAGTCGACAGCGGCCTCTGGTGGGATTATGAGAGAATAGCAGGTGTGAATGGCACTCGCGAGAGAAATTTGAGATTTCAAAAAGCATACACAGTGGCCTCTGCTAGATTTGCGAAAACAAAAACGGCAAAAAAGGTACTTCCTGGGATGTATTGCACAGTTTCCAGAAATGTATACAGAGGTACATTTCAGAATGAGCCTGGATTGTTTAAAACTGGTAACCATAGACTTCCATTGGAGGAAAAACAAATACTACAGAAGTCAACTGTTCCCTGTTTTAAACAGAAATTTAAACACTACTGGAAAAAGTACGCTCAACAATCATATTCGTGCTGCTTGTTTAAACTACATCTTTATAATCTAAAGAACCTTTTGTAATATTTATTTTTGGGATCTTTAGAATACAATATTTCGACATTTAGAATAGAAGAGTGGCTTGGAAACTGTTTATGAATTTCTTTCTTCTGTTGAACACAAGGGAGATATTCTGAAGAATGTTAATAAAAGCAGCGATTGACTTCAATAGAACATGAAATACTGTGGAAGTCAATAGTTTTGTTTATTTACTTATTCAGCATTCCTCAGAATATCTTTCTTTGTATTCAACAAGTGATGGAAACTCAAACCAGTTTGGAACGAGTGAGTAAATGATGACAGAAATGTTTCCTTTTTGGTGAACTGAAAGTCGTTCCTACAAACTACACTTTAAGAGTGCAGTTGGATCAGTGTAGAAATAAACCAACCAAAATAATGCATAGCTATACTTGAATGACATTCAAAACAATTTGCATCATTTATTTTTAGATGCATGCAGTGTTATGTAAACTGTGTGCTTGTGTGTGTGTGTTTGATTGTGTGTGTGTGTGTGTGTTTGTGCGTGTTTATGCGTGTCTGTGTGTGTAAAGTATTTTGTTCTTACTTTTACAGGCCCGTAGCCAGCCTATTAAAAGGGGTGTTTCTTTGTTCTCGCAGTTATTTGCCTCATTTTCTATTAAATTTTGAGGTTCAAATATTGCATTTTAGTGACATTTTAAGCACCATTTTTTGCTGGATTAGCTTGTCGGATGGTTATCATTACCCCACTTTGTAATGCAACAAAATATTTCCTACATTTTTTGTCAAAGTGTTTGCCATACTATTTTATGTTTACAAAAAATTGTGTTTATTTGCAAATATTCATTCATTTTCTTGTCGGCTTAGTCCCTTTATTAATCCGGGGTCGCCTTAGCGGAATGAACCGCCAACTTACCCAGCAAGTTTTTACACAGCGGATGCCCTTCCAGCCGCAACCCATCTCTGGGAAACATCCACACACACATTCACACACACACACTACGGACAATTTAGCCTACCCAATTCACCTGTACCGCATGTCTTTGGACTGTGGGGGAAACCGGAGTACCCGGATGAAACCCACGCGAAGGCAGGGAGAACATGCAAACTCCACACAGAAACACCAACTGAGCCGAGGTTCAAACCAGCGACCTTCTTGCTGTGAGGCGACAGCACTACCTACTCGCCCCTTATTTGCAAATATACTTTACGTTATTACAGTTTTATAAATAATGTGATGAGGTTACAATTTGAAATAAAACTTTTTGAACCAAGAAATGAAATGAAATGAAAAAGTACTACTTTTTAAATGCTAATTTGTTATCATCCATCATTAAAAAAAACAACAATTAGGAATCTGTTAAACATTGTTTTAAATTAAAAACTGTAGCCAGAGATGTAGCCAGAGAGCCAAACTAGGACCTGCCATCCCATTAAGAGAGGAATTAAGTTCAAATTTAATGTAACCCTTTGTTTGTTTGTCTTATTGTTAAAGCAAACTGAAATTAAATGCTTCAATTAAATGGTGTCAAGGAAAAGTTGTACATACAGTAAGTACTGTCATCTCACAATGCAGAGACTTTGGTGAGCAAATCAAGGCAAAGGCAGATTCTGCTTGACTAGTGACTAGTGTATAATAGTTATTATTATTTTTTTTAAATGTTATACTGCATTAGTTAATATTATTTAAAGTGATGCTTTCTATTGATTTTAAAATATAATTTAAGAAATTATCCTTGGCAACTTTAATGTAATATAGTTTGGTATATTTACCTTTGGCCCACAGCTCTCTTTTTGGCTCTTTTTGGTCAGAGTTTGTCCTTTTAAATAACAATTAATCATTAAATTTGTCATTCAGGGGCCAAACAAGGATCATATATGGGCCAAGTCTCAGCCAAGTTAACAACCCATAACTGGGCCAGATATGTTGGTGTGCCACGACTGGAATGAATTTGATAAACCCATGGAGCATTTCGCTTCAGGCATGCTATGGGCGTGCTTTTTCTCAAAGCAACCTCGGGTGCGTTCACGAAAACCATCGTTGGCCAACTAAGATCGCAAGTTGTGTTGTTACAAACACAGTTCGTTGATTTGGTGTTTCCCAAATCCATCGTTCCAACAAACATTTGCAAACTGCGTCGCAAACTTGTGCACTTGCGACTACACCTCCAGAGCTGTAGTTAGAAACATAGTTCCCGGCTGTGTTTTATTCCCACTTATCTCCCTTATGCCCTATTCATTTAGAACATTTTAACTTGGAATTATTAAAATAAAGCATTAAAGTCGTCATTCTTAGGTGTAATTTGCTTTGAAAGTATTTTTACAGTTCTGTTTTAGCGATCTTCATGTTTACAATTGTGCTCCCTTTGCTGTGCACTTTGAAAACATTGATGTCATTTTGAACACAGCCAAGCGGAATTTATGTTTCGTCTCCAAAGCTAGTATATTTTTTTACAGTCATTGCTCCAAAGCTAGTGAAAACAAAAAAAAACATTACATATGTTAATGATTTTATTTTATAGTAAGTTATTTATTGAGAAATGTAGCCTACTGTATGTGACATGGGCCTGTTGGTTAATTGTAAAAGTAGACTTTTAAAAATAATACATATACAGTTGAAGTCAGAATTATTAGCCCCCCTGAATTTATAGCTCGCCTGTTTATTTTTTCGCCCGATTTCTTTTTAACGGAGAGAAGACTTTCCAGCACATTTCTAAACATAATAGTTTTAATAATTCATTTCTAATAACTGATTTATTTTCTCTTTGCCAGGATGACAGTAAATAATATTTGACTAGATATTTTCCAAGACACTTCTATACAGCTTAAAGTGACATTTAAAGGCTTAACTAGGTTAATTAGGTTAATTAGGCAGGTTAGGGTAATTAGTCAAGTTATTGTATAACAATGGTTTGTTCTGTAGAGTAATGAAAAAATAAATTGCTTAAAGGGGCTAACAATTTTGTCCTAGGAATGTTTAAAAAAAAAATTAAAAACTGCTTTTATTCTAGCCGAAATAAAACAAATTCGACTTTCTCCAGAGGAAAAAATATTATCAGATATACTGTGAAAATTTCCTTGCTCTGTTAATCATAACTTGGGAAATATTTAAAAAAGAAAAAACAATTTAATTCAATTTATATCCTACTTATTATTAATAATAATAATCATCATCATTAATATTAATATTATTATTACATTATGATATTTTTTTTCCTAATAATAATTAATAAATATTAAATTTAATTTCTTAATAAATCGCCTTATTATTTATTTATTTATATGATTTATTTATGATATTAGAATATTTGTTAGTGATTTTATGTTTTAGAATAGAATATATAATGTTCTCAGTAATATTTGTAAAGGAAACACAGGCCATATATGTGCCGTTTACATATATTTCAGTTAATATGGAAAGCGAGTGCATGTTTTTACCAAAACTAATATTGGATTATATTTTAAATGCGTGTGCGTCTACAACAATATAATTTGCACAAAGAAATGATGGGGTTCTGCTCTAAAAAAGTAGTTACTCTACCCTGTTTAAAGCATCATAGTGGGCGTTTTACGTTATAATTACACATTGTAAATAATTAAATTTGTCTTAAAGCCTTCTATTGGTTATTCTCAGTATTTATGATGGCATACTGTCAAATATAGGTCAAATGAGCTCATATAGGGACTCTGGACTTTGTTAATATGGGCCCTTCCTTATTGACAAAGTCCAGAATCATTATATGAGTTGAGTCTTTGGGCTACGAGTCTGTTTTAGCTGTTTTTATTGGCATGTTTGAACATATTCCCATGTAAATGCACACCTTTTTTGTAAGGACAGGAGTTGACCTGCTGATCTCACAGCTATTATGAAATTTAGACGAAACTCTTTACGTAATGCTGTACATTTCATAATGGCTTAATATCATTACACAACAGCAGACTTTCACTGATACGATCATGATGTGCATTCTGAAACTCCAGGGTGTGTTTTCTTGCTTTATTTTCAAAGTATTCTTGCTCTGCTTCTTTTCTCAGGGCGACACATCCGGAGATTACCGAAAAACCCTGTTGATCCTCTGTGGAGGCGAGGACTAGAGCGACATTCATCATCCGGGACGAGTCTCAGGATATTCAAGCATTAGCAAACCCCATGTTTGTGCGGATGCTAGTCAGTGAATGCTAGTCTGTTTCCTGCCATGCTAAAGCCAAAGCTAAAGCTATCAAAAGCCACACTGTGTCCCAGTTAATTTCAGCAGTCATGCACCAAACACTTTTGTTTTTTAGCAGTTAAAGCACTGCTGTGGTGTTACCGTGATACTGGTGCTTTATTTGTTATCCTGTTTACCCCAGAAATAAACAGATGTGATTGTGTTTGAGTTCGTGTTGCTAAATGAACACCGACATGGTTGTGTTTTAATAGCAAAAGCTGCATTACAGTTACAGGTTAACTTTTTAGATTAGTTTGTGTAACATTCTTCATTCATTCATTCATTCATTCATTCATTCGTTCATTCATTCATTTTCTTGTCGGCTTATTCCCTTTATTAATCCAGGATCGCCACAGCGGAATGAACCGCCAACTTATCCAGCAAGTTTTTACGCAGCGGATGCCCTTCCAGCTGCAACCCATCTCTGGGAAACATCCACACACACATTCACACACAAACACTCATACACTATGGACAATTTAGCCTACCCATTTCACCTGTACCGCATGTCTTTGGACTGTGGGGGAGACCGGAGCACCCAGAGGAAACCCACGCGAAGGCAGGGAGAACATGCAAACTCCACACAGAAACACCAACTGAGCCGAGGTTCGACCCAGCGACCTTCTTGCTGTGAGGCGACAGCACTACCTACTGCGCCACTGCCTCGAGCCTTCTTCAGTCATTCATGTATTTATTGGTAATTAGGTCTAGTGTATTAATTCACCATATTTAAGTTTTTAATGTTTTGAGGGATGTTTAGGCCATATCCTAATTCTATTTTTGTACCCCTACCCTTTCCCATTCCCGTTAGACATTAAAACAGAGTGTGAAGAGGAAGGGCTTTAAAATTTACCCCTAAGGCCGTACTCACACTATGTACAGTCGCCTTGAACCGGACCAAAGCACGCTTGTCCCGCCTCCTGTCTCCCCCGACGGCCCGCACTCGCCTCACAATCGGGCCTTGGCACGGTTACGTCATCGCTGCTGCGATTTTACGAGATAAAAGTCTTGTGAACACTTCCTACCAATTTCAGGCTGATGAATGAATTTTTTCTCGCAGAGACTGACTGGTGCCATTTTGCACTCACAGTGGTTTGAACCGTTATAGGGGTGGTCAAATGTATGTTTAATCATTCATTCATTCAATAGCTTTTCGGCTTAGTCCCTTTATTCATCCGTGGTCGCCACAGCGGAATGAACCGCCAATGCTGAGCGATGGAAGATGCTCTTCCAGCTGCATCCCATCTCTGGGAAACATCCATACACACTCATTCACACACATACACTAAAGAAAATATTGGCTTACCTAATTTACCTGTACCACATGTCTTTGGACCCACACAAATATGGAAAGAACATGCAAACTCCACACAGAAATGTCAATTGACTTAGCCGAGGCTTGAACTAGTGACCTTCTTGCAATGAGGCGAATGTGCTACCCACTGCGCCACCATGCAGTATGTTTATTCATTCATTCATTTTCTTTATTCATTACCGAGCATCAGAATGGGGAAGAAAGGGGATTTAAGAGACTTTGAACGTGGCATGGTTGTTGTTGCCAGACGGGCTGCTCTGAGTTTCAGAAACTGCTGATCTACTGGGATTTTCATGCACAACCATCTCTAGGGTTAACAGAGAATGGTCTGAAAAAGAGAAAATATCCAGTGAGCGGCAGTTCTGAGGGTGCCTTGTTGATGTCAGAGGTCAGAGGAGAATGGCCAGACTGGTTCCAGCTGATAGAAAGACAAGAGTAACTCAAATAAGCACTCGATACAACCAAGGTCTGCAGAAGAGCATGTCTGAATGCACAACATGTCCAACCTTGAGGCAGATGGGCTACAGCAGCAGAAGACCACATCGGCTGTCACTCCTGTCAGCTAAGAACAGGAAACTGAGGCTACAATTCACACAGGCCCTGCTCTGATGAGTCTCGATTTCTGCTGCCACATTGGGATGGTCGGGTCAGAATTTGGCACAAACAACATGAAAGCATGGATCCATCCTGCCTTGTGTCAACAGTTCAGGCTGATGGTGGGGGTGTAATGGCCTGGGGGATATTTTCTTGGCACACTTTGGGCCCATTAGTACCAATTGAGCATCGTGTCAACGCCACAGCCTACCTGAGTATTGTTCTGACCATGTCCATCCCTTTATGACCACAGTGTACTCATCGTCTGATGGCTACGTCCAGCAGGATAACGCACCTTGTCATAGCCTGAATCATCTCGAACTGGTTTCGTAAACATGAAGATAAGTTCACTCTACTCAAATGGCCTCCACAGTCACCAGATCCTCAATCTTGTTGAGCACTTTTGGGATGTGGTGGAACGGGAGATTCACATCATAGATGTGCAGCTGACAAATCTGCAGCAACTGCCTGGTGCTATCATGTCAATATGGAGTAAAATCTCTGAGGAATATCGTCCAGTACCTAATAAAGTGGCCGGTGAGTGTATTTTCTGTTATTATCAAAAGACAGTACTAAATTTGAAAAAAAATCACAAAATAAGAAAAATCGTCATCCTGTATAAAAGTTTTCACCCCCTCAGGAATCACCCAAAGAATTAAAAAGCAAGTGTATGTCCGCTTTTGCTGGGGCTTATTTCAATCATTTCAGCTATAATTCATCTATATGTATACATCTTTTATGTAAGATATCTTACTCAGGACAGTACTAAATAAAAAATATCATGCATTTTGTATGATTCTTAACTTATTATTTATATTTGAACAAATTCTTCATAGGGTGTGTAAACTTTGAAGCACTAACTTGTGTATGATAACAATACCACCTGTTGATTGATATGATTTTGCATTGCTCATTTTGACCCTTTGACAACCGTGGGCCTGTTTTTAATTCATAAACCTTCGTTGAAAGCTTTTTTTTCAGAGCAGAAGATGTTTTTTTTTCACGTCCTGCTGTTTTATTAGTGGTTTGAGAGCTGAATCACCCAGATCAGTCATTACCTTTATTTACATTGCAGACGCACCAGATAAGGAAATTCCCTGCTGTAGTAATCCGTGTGACTCTGTGCTGAATAGGAAATATCTGTAAATCGCAGATGGTCAACTTGATATCCAGTGTTCGCTAGAGACACTATCGCTTTTAGAAGAGTATGATTTTTTTATTATTATTTTAAGCATTGTCAAAACATTTTTTAAACAGGTTAGAACAAAGGTTTACATTTTAAAACTGAATAAAAATAGAATAATTGAAAATAAAATAATAATGATAATAATACATAAATAAATAAACTTCAAATGATTCAATACACATTGAAGGAAAGAAGATCTTTAATAAATGTGTATAAATGATGAACACGTCACCATTTTTCTCAGAAAACATATTTTTAAGAGTGCTGTTGAAATTTTCATCAGATGTTAGTAACAACCAAAGAAATCCAAATATGCAAAGAAAACAAAACTAATTAGTTTACAAATGAAGTTATGTGTAATGAAATGACACAGGAAAAAAGTATTGAACACATGAAGAAAGGGAGGTAGAAAAGCAGTGAAAGCCCAGACAGCAGTTAAAATCTCTCAGTAGTTCTTCAACAAGCCTCTCAACCCTTTTTTTGTTTTGTTATGATTCTATATTTGTATCGTTTGGGTTTCTACCAAAATCTGGTTTAATTTCATGTCAACTGTTTACTTAGAATTTATATATATATATATATATATATATATATATATATATATATATATATATATATATATATATATATATATATATATATATATATATATATATATATATATTATTCTAAAGGAGCTGTTGACAGAATTGAAGCAGATACACACACACACACACACACACACACACACACAGGCCACTTTATTAGGTTCACTTTTGTATTACCGGGTTGGACTCCCTTTTGCCTTCAGAACTGCCTTAATCCTTCATAGCATAGATTCAACAGGTTACTGGAAATATTCCTCAGAGATTTTGCTCCATATTGACATGATAGCGTCAGGCAGTTGCTGCAGATTTGTCAGCTGCACATCCATAATGTGAATCTCCCGTTCCACCGCATCCCAAAAGTGCTCTATTGGATTGAGCGCTAGGGACTGTGGAAGCCATTTGAGTACAGTGTACTCATTGTCATGTTCGAGAAACCAGTCTTAGATGATTCACGCTATTACATGGTGCTTTATCCTGCTGGAAGTAGCCATCAGAAGATGAGTACACTGTGGTGATAAAGGGATGGACATGGTCAGCAACAATACTCAGGTAGGCTGTGGTGTTGACAAGATGCTCAATTGGTACTAATGGGCCCAAAGTGTGCCTAGAAAATCTCCCGCACACCATTACACCCCCACCATCAGCCTGAACCGTTGATTCAAGGCAGGATGGATCCATGCTTTCATGTTGTTGATGCCAAATTCTGACCTGACTATTCCAATGTGGCAGCAGAAATCGAGACTCATCAGACCAGGCAACGTTTCCGTAGCCCATTTGCCTCAAGGTTGGATGTATTGTGTATTCAGAGATGCTCTTCTGCAGACCTCGGTTGTAACGAGTGCTTCATTGAGTTACTGCAGCCTTTCTATCAGCTGGAACAAGTCTGGCCATTCTCGTCTGACCTCTGGCAAGGGATTTGCGCCCACAGAACTGCCGCTCACTGGATATTTTCTCGTTTTCAGACCATTCTCTGTTAACCCTAGAGGTGGTTGTGCTTAAAAATCAGCATTTTCTGAAGCATCAGCAACCATGCCATGTTCAAAGTCACATTAATCCCCTTTCTTCCCCATTCTGATGCTCGCTTTGAACTGCAGCAGATCGTCTTGACCATGTCCACATTGCTAAAAGCAATGAAATTTGCAGTTGTACCTATTAAAGTGGCCGGTGAGTCTATATAAATGAACATGCTTGTATATATACTTTTATTGTCTATCAATTCAACAAAAGAGTCGCCATTTACACTGTCCAAGAAGTCATATCCACTTTCCAGACTTTACCAGAACACATGAATATAGTGTTTATAAAAGATCATCTCCTCTAAGGTGATTGTTCATATTTGGTTTATATATATATATATACATATATATGTGTATGTGTGTGTGTGTGTATGTATGTGTGTGTGTGTGTGTGTGTGTGTGTGTGTGTGTGTGTGTGTGTGTGTGTGTGTGTGTGTGTGTGTTTTTGTCTCTGTGTATCTGTGTGTGCA